AAGTCGGTCGTCGGTCGTTCACACTTTATATAAAGAAAACATTAATTCGGCACTATACGGCCATCATCAGAAAAAAGATTACATATAAAATGTTAAATATGACATACAACATAGGAAAAATAAAATTAAGAACATAACATTTACAAAACTATATAAGGCTCAAAATGTACCATTATTATGGAAATCAATCATGGTGGTGTATTTGTGAAGATTTTCGTCAACGTATATCGTGTGTTAGTTTAGAAAATCTTTTTTGGGAGCTGAATCCAGCAACAGAGAAAGAAAACTTCGCTATGAAAAGATGCCGCCAATGCTTGAAGATGAAGGAAAACAAGAAAACTAGATATTTTTGCCCTGTTTGCCTGGAAAAACCTGGTCTTTGTGTCTATGCATGCATCGTCCATTTAGGCTTCTCATATCTAGATTCAATCTTATTTCCAATTCTTTTGTAGGCATTGAAGCAAATAAATGAGTACTGCACTTAGTTCTGTTTTTTTTTCTTGATATGTGTATGTCCAGTTTACTGGACGGCGGGCTATACATGCTAAAACCCCAAATATAGCCCGCTGTGCAGTGAAGTGGACAGCTGCTGGTGACCTTGAAAACGTCAGCATGAATTAGCAAGACCATATATTTACAAATTACGCTTCAAAAAATGATAATTTACTCAAAACTAGTCTTGGTTTCTCAGAGCCTTCTACTCCAGCCATACGTGGCATTCAACGTGTTAATATTGTTCTTACAGAAACGTTCAAATGGGCAAATATGAAGTATTTTTATTGAAATTCAGAAAACTGACAAAGATAACATCAATAAAGTATATATATTTGAAATCAGAAGATGGGGTTCTATCGATTGAGACAATAAAATTCTGTGTTCCATTTAAAAAATACCAGGCTATGTAAATTATTTTGGTTAACGATGCTTTTCTGCATTTTCTTGTAATAGATTATGAATGCTCATGAAAATATTTCACTTTTGCCTATTTGAACGGTTCTGTAAGACCAACATTAACTATGCGATAGCTATTGAGTAAAATAAAAATATCAGGCTGTACCAGTGTTGAAATTTTCAACTAGTGGAATAGAGTTTGCTTTAGTGACAGCTCTTGAACCTGGCAAGCCCTTCTTTTATTATCTTCACCTTCATGTATGTATGTACGTATGGACTCGATTTTGATCCACTTTAAACGGACCAATTGATTTGAAATTTGGCAGGTGTACATAAATCTGGTGGCAATACATTATGCAATTTTAGTTAGACAAAACAACAAAATGGCTGCTCCAAAATGGCGGACGAGTTTTTTAATTATGGTCAGATTCTATTAAAAATTGGTATCTGGGGGTTTTCGGAGTAGGATTATGAATATTTCGTCAAAATCGGAAAATTCAAGATGGCGGATCCAATGTGGTGGATGAGTTTTGTAACTATGATCCGATTCTATTCAAACTCGGTATCTGGCGGTTTTTCGGGTCGGAGATTATGATGATTTTGTCAAAATGGGAAAATTCAATATGGCGAATTCCTTAGGCAAAACTGGGTACTTACAAAAAATATAAAAACACTGAAAAACACGCTATTGCAGTTAGTCGAACTAAAAAATAGAAAATAAGGAGTAGTAAAGAAATACGCTTTTATAAATTGCTAAACTAAAAAGAAGTAGAATATAAAACGATAAAAGTGTGTTGATAAGTACACAACATAGAAAATACAAAAACGACTATACTCATAAGATAGACAGACAAGTATTTCAATCGGATTGTTTGATCTTACGCCCTTCAATACACAAAGCCCTTCTAGTTTCATCTAACCAGTCCGCCCTGTCTATTAAATGACATGTCAAGTGATCATATCATTGTCTACTTCAATCTTTCTGATGATTCGATTATGTTAACGAATTACCTAAAGTATTTATAATCGTTTGTTTTGTGTTTTCGCTTCGCCAAATTCTGATTGGTAAATTAGCACTAATTCTGGAAAAAAAATGTCACTGCCTAGGACATGTGTAGAAAAAAAGTTTCTTGTGCAAAAGTAACTTTTTTTTCAAAACATCTCCCAATTTACAGTTAAATACAAGTGCAACTGTAAATTAGGCAAGGACATGCATAGATTCGTGAAAAAAGTATATGGCAGATCAGAAGCTTCATAACACCATGATGTTACTGTTCATAATCATAATATCGGTTTGTAATTTTAAACAAGGTGAGCACGTGACACTATAGCCAAAACAAAGAGTCCCTTTAAAAACCAGCTGATTTAAAGGTTCGCGATGATGCAGTATATGTGCACCTGGACCAAAAAATCAAATACACCGTACACTATTCATGAAAAAAAAAACTGAGCTACGGCGAAAGTGCTATATAGCATCTAGCATCTGCTTATGGCTGGCTCACTCTTTTCACAATACAATACTATAGCAGGCAGGCAGGCGATAAACTGGTCCAACGCGTCGCAATTCATATTCCAACAGGATTTGCGCACCGGTCCTATTGGAATAATCAAGGTGGTCTAATAGGAATGGGGTTGGAATGCATGGGGTCGAATAATTCGAAAATTTGTTAAATCTAATGGCATGGCGCATAATAAAGAAGGCGGTAGCAGCACGTGCGTAACTTTTTTTTTAATTCGAAGCGCTACCTATAAATACTAGTACTACCGAATATACAGGGCGTCCCAAAATTGCTGGGACACAGAGCTACCACGTGTAGAGGAGGTCAAAATAAGTTGATTGGACCCAATTTATTTATGTGCCAAAATGTACCGTTTGTCCGTGAGAAGGGTTCAAAGTTCACTTGAAAAAACACATTTTTGTACGCTGTTCAGGAATAAGTGGAACGAATTTGATGAAATTTGGCAATAGTGTATTTCAGAGGATTACTTTCCTTTTGGTAATCTAAGAAACCTAAAAGAAATTGTAGAAGGGTTGAAACCACCCTCACCCCCTGACGTTTTCTTCAGAACTTTGTTAAGGGTCATGATACGGTTCTGAAAATTTTTGAGCTTGAAGACTCATCAATTACCTTCATTTTATCACTCTTGTAAAAATTTCGTATACCAAATAGTTTAGAAGAAAAAAATGTTCTCTCAAATAATGCTACCAGATATTCCTATAGTACAAGTTTAATTAAATTGTGATATAAAACTTAGTTGGCAGTGGAAACGCAGGCAAGTCGTGATTTCGACAGGAAACAAATTTATTGTCATTCAAGTTTGTTGTTGACGTTGTCTGTAAATGTTTCAATAAATTCTTCAATTTTGTTATTACCGCGGGTACCATTACTATAGGAATATCTGGTAGCATTATTTGCATAGTTGCAGGCCTAATAGAGGGAGCCAAAATAATTTTAGTACTTCATATAAAAAAAAAGTCTATAACACTTCATTACGGAGTTATTGATCTTGAAAGTTTCTGCAAGTCCATATATCTCCTCAATATTGATTCGTCTTTTTTTCTGTCACAGAAAATATATTGCATGATACCTCCTGTCCCTATCCTCCCTAGGAACGCACGATGTTCTTTGAACATTATAGGGATTCCCTTTCGTGCGCTCCAATCGATAAAAAAAAAAAAACTGGAAAATATTAGATTTCAACACAACCTCGAGCTGAAATCTAATAATTTTTCCCTTGTTTTTCGATCCGATACACAATGGTCAGCTCATGAAGTATTTCATGTGACGCAATTTTCCGAATCGTAAATGGTGCGTGCCATGAAATTATCCCCAACACCCAATCCACCTATAAAAATAACACTGCGATATCCTCGGCGATATCTATCGGATCGTGACATCTCCAGCTGTCCGAGGGCCAAATCGAAGCCCCACATATTTGTAGAGGGTGTACGGGCATTACTCCGCATCTGTCATTATTTTTTTACTGGGAGCGCCAATCGACCTTTGTTTACTTTCTGTTTAGCGTGTCATTCCGGACACCCTTTTTGACACCACTCGAACTAAGGACAAGTGAAAATTACGATACCCTACCGATAAATGAACTGCTCTCCTAGAAAAACACCTGTATTATATTTATTTTTTTACTATTAACCTGAGTAATGACCATTTATCAGAGAATTCCTCTCATGAAAAATGAAAAGTGAAACATGTATCCAACCTAGGTGAATGATGGAAAACGTATGCAGCCAACAAAAGCAAATATTATAAAACGTGCAAAATTCACTTCAAGTTGAAACGCTTGTCGAAGGTAATTCTAATTAGTTTCTGTTATATTATGGTCACAAATCAATAAACACGAGCACAAATGACATGGACAAGGGTTACACTTGCTCTTAATTCGGCTGCCTGCCGAACACTGTATGAGCCAGTCTTCACACACGTCTGTCATAGGCTCTGATCTAAGCACATTCCACTGAGCAGTAGCGCATCTAGTTGATAGATGCTAACAGTTTCAATAATAATTTTCTAGTGACTATTTCACTCATTATATAATCTGACCAATCCAAAGTTCCAACTTGTGTTATCGCGAAAACACAATTATGATTGGTCTGTTCATTCAACGATGTAACCATGGAAAGCGAAGCGAAGTCAGTTTGTCATGAAATAATTTTAGCTGAAATTGTTAAAATGAATCGCTCATCTATGATGCATGCTTTTTATGATTTATGAACGTGAAAGAGTCTAGCAAAATACCACTCTGTTCTGAATATCTTCTCATTCGTCATAATTCTGTATTTCATTGTGTTGTCGTACAGCAATACCACTCGTCCTGACGTACTGAGGTGTTTCTCGGCACCTTTCGTGATATTAGTTTTCAAAATATAATGAAAAATGCCTATGCTAGCTCATATTTTGATTTAAAGATTTCAAAAAATGTTGATTTGAGCTCAGTTGCATTCTCTTTGTGATGAATATTAGAACTCTTTATCGACATATTCAACAGAAAACAAGTATGTATATCGATAACTGAACAATTGAAGACCTATATTTTCATCCATTTAACTCCTTTTTTCTCAACACAATATTATGATGTTTTTTGAGGTTTACCTGTATAACAGATGGAGACCAATGTGTGGGCATGTCTTCTCAATAAACTGCTTTCGTTGCTCCAAGAGCATCTTTCGATGACATGGTCGATGTAATCAAATCCGGTGACTGCTGAGGCGTTCCATTGAAGTTTCGAGAGTACTAGGAGTTCCCAGCTCTATAAAGAAACAAAAAAAAGTAAATAAATGAAATTCATCCATATATATCTCAAAGTGGTCCAAAGTGATTTCAAAAGAAAAACAATTAGCTTAAAGCCAGTCGACCACACTTTATATATAGGTAAAACAATCAAAAATTACATGTAACCGGTTTCGGTGCAACTGCCATCATCAGACAAAAACGTAACTGTAAAATGATGAAATAGGACAATACAATTATAGAGGAGAAACAATAGAATTGAATGACATAGAACAAAAATGACCGTAATGACACAATAGAACATCTTTTTATTTTTGTTTTATATTAAGTGTAGTCGACCGACTTTGAGCTACTTGTCTTCCCATTCATATACGTATTTTTCTTTTTTTCGTGAAGATCAAGTTTCACTCCCGAAAAAAATAAATAAAAGACAAACTTGGCTCCTCCATCATTCCTATGACGTACCATAGGACGTACTTTCTAAAAATCCACATTCACACTCAGTTATAATACGATTCCCTGTGCCAGTACGACGTTGCTGACATCATCAATATGTCTAGATTTTCGGAAATTGTTCTTTCAATGCATAATGACTATATCATAACAGCAATGGGATATAATAGGTTCTTCAATCGTACTTTCTCAAGTATTATGAATAATTCCCATAAATCTCTCATTGGCTGAATGAAGTTGATTGCTAATAAAGATGAATTATGATATTTCGCGAGAGTATCTATAGTTTTTCACTATCGTTATAATACAATATGTTATTCATAACTTGACAGTCATTTTTTTGCAAATGAATTCGTTCCTTAATAAAACGTATCTATTTTCTAGGAAAGTTGCAGATTATATCTTGCAACAGCGCCTAATACTTCGAGTCCGTCCACACCACTCAAAATACTACAACAAAAGGAAGGAGCCTGGGTGTCGGCTTCATTCTGTTCTGATCGATGGCAGTAAATTAGGAAGGATAGTATCATTGAATGTAGCCGATAGTGATTCATTGATTCAATGATATTGTCGTTCAGGATTGAGCTCTATTCGAGATAATTCAATGCATAAATAACGAAACCATAACCTATCAGAAGGAAGCCAACTACCCTCTGCATTCCTGCTCCAAGTGCATTTGTGGTTGTGCGTGTTTTTGTTTACCAGTGTTACTTCGTCTTCTATTTTTTTCTTTCGTTAGCTATTCGCCAGCTATATTCTTCAGATTCAGAATGTACGTCACAGTTTGCAGCCCCGAATATTAGAAATTGCTCCAATTTGAAAATGAAAACGACTTGGACAGTATCGGTCGCCATTCTGTACAGCGTGGACATAAAACTGGAGAGTTCCGAACTTATTTCATAAAAATTCATCTGAAGAAAACTTCTTCATTATTCGTGGACATCTGTGGCAAGGATGATGAGATTTGCTGATAGGTATCTGTCTAGGTGGCCAAGGAATGGTCAACGAGGCTATGGCAACCTAATCCAAGCTGAGGGAACTCGAATGGCGATGGTTGAATGGAACCGAGGTATATGGTGTCGCTAACGGGGCCTCTGGTAAACAGGGCGACATCTCAGAGTAAACAGCCTCAGCCATGTGCAGGGGGCACCACAGGGCTAGACTAACCCCCTCCCCCGTCACTCGTACGGAAGGTAAAACTTTTAGTCTTCTTCGTAGACGAGAACAGGGATAGGATGAGGAATCTTCAGGAACCTGAATTGAAGTGGCCCTAAATGAGCACCATAAGTCGTATTATGGTAAAATTGATAACGGCAAGAAGGTAAGATACAATGGTCCACTATAGGCCTAGGTGTCGTCGGAGACATCAGTCAGACGAGCCTACAAACGAGGTGGAGTGTTAGTGGGTATACCATGGAGTAAGGGAACTCACATACTATGAAAAAGGAGATTGGACCCAAATGATGTCTATAAAGGATTACAACCACCTCGACGAAAAAAAAAACTGTACACTATTATACTCCAGGACCACCTTGTATAAATCATTAAACCAACCAAAAACCATATGCGCTATCTCGAAAAAGTTCACTCAGCGTCTCTAATGTACAAATCGATATACACCGCCACATGCCCATGCATTTTTCGAGTATGAAAAAAATTCCCATAGGTAATTAAGCAACGAGATAACGCTAATGATGGGAATGTCATTGCTGTCGTGTCGCCCTACATAAATTAAATTGGTGACATCACCAATCGCGGTGGTTGGAACTATTTTAATCCACCCCATTGAAGATAGCCCATATAACCGCAAAGTGGTTCTGTGACAAATTTTATGGGATCCAGTTATGGAAAAACGATGGATCAGAATAGAATGTACCTATTGTTATTATAAAAGCGCGCCATCCAGAGGCGTAGCGTACGAAATTTTAATAGAGGGGAATAACAAAAATATAAATATCTTTTTTTTTTTCAAATGGAAGGTTTGAATTTGATATTTGAAATGTCTAGAACTTGTTTTATTCGAATGTAACCCTTCACATTATCTCCATAATTTAGAAAAAATTCCAACATCTACCTCCTGTGACACTTTGTTTGACAAGCGAATTTTGCATTTGCGAGGCGGAGTGTTTAGCGAAGCCGAGCGAAAGCAAAGTCACTTTTGATCAGAATGAAAGATGCTATTTTTTCTGCAACCGAAACAATTAACTCAAATAAATAATTATGTGAAATAACCACCAATGTCGTGCCATATGTATGCAATGCAACAAATCAAAATCAATGCAAAATCCGTGTGGTGAGAATATTCTACTTGCATTAACAGCAGGTTTATTCAATTTTCAAGGATGTTTGTATTGTAGTTTCAATATAAATACAACCACAGAGTGACATATTTGTGTATGAGTGTATGGGCCAGGTGATCTAATGGCAAATACCGCGCCAGTGCCAAGTATAGGAACAGGACGTTGAAAATGTTAGGTTAGTGAGCATATCAACAATAATAGCGATTATTCATTCTTCTCCTTACTACACTGTGTTTTGACTTGATAATTAAATAAAGGTAAACAATATCGTTGTTTGAGACAAAAGCCGATTGCTTGCCGTGATTATTCAAAAACAATTTATCCATCCCGAGAATAACGAATGAAATACAGATCCAGCAAATTTTTGTGTCAGTAACAGACACGTCAATTCAAGAGCTAATTTTGGTATTAAAATGGACGACTTTTGTTTCGGTTGCAGAAAAATTCATTTTTGAAATGGATTTTCAGAATATAAACAAGTTTTCTATCATTTCCATAGCTCACTTCACGGATCGCACTACTGATGAGAATTGAGGTTGAGGTTGGTAGATCTGATATACTTCTACTTCCGTACTCACAATATATTTTTTCAATTTCAATTCGAAAGTGTCTACACAATTGATGGCTTTGGTCCTGCTATTTCCGAAAAATAAGCCAACATCGTCTCCGAGAAAGAACTGCAAGTCCTTTCATCTTCCATTCCAAAACAAACACTAAGTTCGCAATTTTCCGAAACCAAATCACAGAATTGTAGACTGACAGATATTTGATTACTTTAAAAGAATGATAAAGATGTCTGATGCAAAAAGACGCCTGCAAGGCAGGTGTAATTCCTGTTAAAAACTTCCTGATTTTAATATATAATGTTATATCTTCTCATTATTGATTCGTCCTTTTCCGTGTCACAGAAGAAAAAAGTACACGGGAAAAATAGTAGATTTAAAATTTTTAGCTCACGGTTTTTTGTCTCCCTCCGTTACGCGTCGGGAGACAACACAACATCTAGCTAAAATCTACTACTTTTTTCCCTTGTATAATAAATGACTATTTTTCTGTTAAGTTTTGGAGATTATAAGTTCTTGGGAATACTTCCTTTGGCAAAGAATTTGAAAGCAATGCCGTTCTGTATATTATGAAAGAGTTTTGCTAAAGAATTGTTCGAGGTTGATGACGAGTCGAGTTCGTCCGAATAGTATTTATCCCGGTATTTATCAACCAATCGCCATCAGGCCAGATTGCGTATCCGAAATATAAATTTCGTCAATATGTGAAGAGATATATTATTTTTAGTTATTCAAAGTGAAGACTCAAGTATGGTAATACTGGGGAGAACTCAAAAGCCACTAAAATACCTAGGATATCATTTTCCGTTATCAAAATGAAAGTAGGTATACGAAAAGTCCTGAATCACGTTGTCTGTTACTAATATCACAATCGCATCGAATTTCAATGGACCACCCCTTTAGTCTAAACATATTCCTAGAGGCGAGTCCTTGTAAAACTACACAGTCACTAACGTAAATTTCCCCTCTTCCACAAATTCCCATACCGATATTTTGTTTTCTATTATACCCAAACGAATCATTTTCATATTAATATGGTAATTCGTGTTTTCATTGCACCAAGTCGTTACAGTTATATTTTTCTATTCCTCGTCTAGTCTAGACGGGCTGCAAGCAACCCCTAGAAGAAAAAGGCGGGGAGGATAGTACAGGGGATGCTGAGCACGCGAAGTCAAGAACTAGAAATGTGGGTATTAGATTTCAAGGGCTGTTGATTTAGACTAGTTCAGCAGAGTCAGAGGCGTATGTACGAATCTTCAAGAAATCAAAATGTAGCAACTACTAGGAAATGGTTATTTTTGTGACTATCGACTATTTTTTTAACTCGGCTACGCCTCGTTAAAAAAATCAGATCTCGATCACCAAAGTAGCATTTCGCGCTCCAACATCATATTCTTTCTACAAACATCATAAAATATAGTTCTGAAGTAAAAATATGCTTAGCTTGATATAAAAAATAGTGCTGAACTGGCTTAAAAAGCTTCCCCCTATCCTCCCTAGGTACGCACGATGTTTCACGAACATAATAGGAATTTCCTTTCGTGCGCTCCAAGAGATAAAACAAAGTTATTGTTGAGCATTCAGAAATAAATGATTTCGTGGATGTTTGCTCGATTGAGGACCATAAAGTTGAAATATAAATATCTCATATATTTTACATAATAATGCGCGAAGTAGGTACTTGTTTTGTGCAAGGTATCATG